TAATTAGCACAGCGCTGGGTCAAGAGAACAGAATACATTTCACATGGAGCATATTAACAGTTACAGTTTTTTGCATGCTGTACGTAATATGGTCTTTGATAAGAGTCCGGGTGCATTGTGGAAGAAGGTTTCTCTCCCACATTCTTCCTACATGATGTCTTATTGATTTGAATCTTGAGTATATTGACTCGTACGGCAACTCTGCCATGAAACCAAAAAAGCAATGGTTATGCATAGTAACTCTAGAGGGGTTCTGCCTGCAAGAATAAAATGTAAAACATTTTCTTTTTCCACTTTGCTGCACTTTTATTTTCCATAATAGGAAACTCAATATCTTAAAGACATCAGCTTGTACTCTGGGAAATTGTGAGGAGTATTTGTCCCTGTTTTCTGATATTTTATAGACCAGACAATCAATTAATCAAGAAACTAAGTTGCAGCCCTACTCCTCATCATCAGGTATCTGCATGCATCAAACAAACTACAGTAATAGGATCACATCAGGCACCACTGTTGATTCATTTTAATCGCCCCAACACGTAACTTGGTCAGGCGATTGGCAGGTTGGGGGTTGTAAACAATGCAAATGTGCTTTTCTGTAGCATCTCCATGCTTCATCTTTTTGTTTGAATTAAGCCAGATTCCCACTGGTGTTCAATCCAATTTGATTAGAACTGGGAAAATATGCATTTATATTATTTATTGCGCTCAATTCTTACAGCAACTAAAGAGGTTTGGGGTTGATTATAATAGATTTCCTGTGGGAAAGACTCACTCAGCACTCCATATCATTTGGTGATGAAAATATTTCCAGTGACACAAGATGTGACACAATGTTTCTTTCTTATTGCAAGGCTAAATGCACCCCTTAGCTTTCCACTAAAGACAGTACTGTTCATGTCCCACAATGTCAAGTAGGAGATGTCAAGAGATAAGGACAACTAACTTTCATTCTTGACTTTGGTGTTTTAACAACATGTAGGAGTAAGCTAACGTAAATGTTTGTGTCTCTCCTTTAACAAGATGACTGCTGTAACTGGAAAGAAAATATGACCGGCTGATTCATGCACTGGATTGGAGCTGCTGAAAACTTAAACACAAAGTTCATAAGTTCATATGGTGGTAAAAGACTCCGGGTCGCATTAAGGTAAGAAAGTGTGTTAAGCTGCTTTTGTATGAAAACAATTGTATGAAACAATACTTTTGTTTCACATCCTGGGTCTCTGACTTGCACTGGGGTTTGTCTGCATTTGTACATACATCCTTTAACTTGCAATATTCCTTGTTTCTGTCGTTGGAATGGTTTTCATTGTGACAATTCAATTACAGCACAGAATCTAATAATAAGGGCCAAAGTTGTCTAATCTCTTTCTCAGTCTCAGGCGGCTGTAAGGAATATTTTGTGGTATTATTGAAACTTTTCATTTCTGCTGTATTAAAGATTCCATGTACTGCTGTCTGTGCTGTTGTGGAGCAGAGGTGTCATTGGCATGAACTCGTTCTCTCTCTGTGTTTCTCTATGTCTCACTCTCTTTGTTTCTGATATAAGTAACAGGTGTGTTCATAGTTATAAAAAAATCTTCATAGTGACATGGTGCATTGTGTTTTCAGGATGTTGCTGGGATCAGAATGTGATTATTGCAGCTTTTAGTTTTAACAAGGGTGACTTGCTAAAAAAGCCCTGCCTTGATTAAAGGTATAACTTCTCTGCATTAAAATGTCTAAAAATGACTACACCTATGTTATGTATTTTCTTTAGTTGTGTACTTACAAGGTCCCAAATGTTTTTAAATATTTTCAAACCCAAGCAAATCCATCATTGTAATTATGGTAATGGTGTGTTTCATTTAGTCCGAAGTCATAGTGTTTAGCCACACTTTTATGAGAAAGAGAAGACAATGAGAGAAACAAGAAAATGTTAACAGCAGAGTCCGGTGTCTGCCGAACACCGTCTAAGAAACACTGATTTTTAAAGTGAAACTGCTTTATTCAGTGTTTTTACCAGTTTTATCCATCTGATCTGTTTGCTATGGACTTCCTGAACGATCCCATAGTGACAGGAAATTACATACTGTGGCTTTAATAGAACTATAGGTTTACCATCATCGAATTTTAGATCCACCAATTACACTGAAGTTGTCAACAGAACTCTACCAAAGGAGAACACCATTGTTTAAATAGCATTCCCAGGGGTCACTTGCACTTGCAGTCAGCTGTCAATATTGTCCTATTTACATGTTTGATACCCTATATAACCTCTGCTCTATGTCCATCTATCATCTCCATCATCAGATAATCCTCTGCCCTGACACTGACAGCAGGGCATAGCAGAAGTGTCACAGGTCACATGAGTGAACAACTGCTTAAGCAGAATGTAGAAAAGCGGGCAGGTGTGCAGCATCACACCTCATGACAGTGGGCCAGCATGTGGCAGAATCTATCTGATACTGCACTGGAGAGCAAGTTTCTTCTGGCTGACAGTGAAGACTAACTGTGCCAGGTGTCTAGTGCTGTGTCAACTGTGGAGTAGTCCCTACATGAACCTGCAGCCCACATAGGGCTTCTAGACAACATTTCTTGCCTAGAAAGCAGAGAACCATGACTTTTTTCAGCATTTGATAAAATGCATTTTTCATGCAACCTGGTGACCTCGCTGACTTCTTAACCCAGCTACTTCCAGTAGCTAGCAAACTCTCAGCATGGCACACAGAGGAAGAAGAACAGGGTTCGAGAGACCACACTGCACCTCACCTCCACAGCAAAGGGATCAGTGGAAAAAGGCCCACTGATGTCAACGAGTATGCTCTAGTGATGAAACTTTTGCTGAGCAGTGACGCAATGAAACACTGCTGATGCAGGTGCACAGTTCCAGCCAAGCCAGGTCAGGATGAGCAGAATTCACTGCTGTATTTCTAATAAAGCCATCTTATAGCCATATTATTGCCACTGAACGGCAGCCACCACCCCTACTTAAGAGACAGACCCCACAGGGTTATATGTGCTCATTGCATGCAAATTTTCAGTTTGAAGATCTTCAAAAATGAGTGGCTTAGACTACACAGTCCCATTAGAATGAGAAGCCCTTGTGAAATAGTTTTCCAGGTATCAATGCAAAAACTGAACCCCCATATGTTCTGTTTAGTTTTAACTTCAGAGTGTGAGTGCCTACAGTAGTATATAATTATTTTACATTTCTATCACAACTTCTGTCCCTTATCTTCCTCCCAGACAAAAACTTTTGAAATAGCAGAGATTATTTTTCAATTTCCTACCTTTCCTCACGGAGAGTATACATTCCCCCGTCTTCATCAACCAACCAGATATCATATATTCCCTGGGTCTCTACACTGTTTAACATTTTTAGAAGTGATTATGAATACTTTTGTGTGGTTTAATAATCAAAGTGAGAAGTATTTCCATAAAACAAGTGTGTAATTACTTATCTTTTAGCCTTCGGTTTTCTCTCAGCGCCACAATCAATTACTCTTTCCTCCAAAATGATAAATAATGAGGAAAGCTTGTGGCTAAACAGATTTCAGAGAGTAAATCCAATATTTTTCCTTGGAGAGAATAGAGGAAACAGCTGAAGCAAAATGGATACAGTAATAAGTCCCCTGTTGTATCATAATATGTGTAAGGTACACTGCATTGTGCTCTTTGTTGTACTGGGGCACTTTTACTTGTACACAAGTGTCTGTACTCTTTGATTATTTACTTGGTTGATTGTCAGGACATCTCAAAACTACTAAACAATGACATTTTGGAAATTTTTGGTCATATGCCAAGGCAGAACTGTAGCTATATTTAAATGAGGGTGCACATGCTGTATCTACTCTGAATGATTTCGCAATAATTGATTGATGGCATTTCACCAAAATGTGGAGCTACAGCAACAGGAAAAGCTGAAATCACCATTACTCAGTGTCCATGAGTGTTACTTACTTGAAAGTTTATCTTTGTACAAAGCCCTAATAAAACTAATCACAAATCAGTATGATTGTTTGTGACTACACATTTTTAGGATGAATCTCAAATTGAGACACAACTTATAAACATTTACTGTCATTAAATGAGACATTTTCAGGATTCTTGGCAGAAGTAATGGAAGCTGTTTCTGAATGCTTTCTAGATGAATATGCACTTAAATCTGGGAAGGCAGTTTGCCATCATCTCTCAAAAACCCAAAGTAATCAAAGGCTGCAGAATTTCATATTTATTCTAGTACTCTCTGTTCTTTCAATATATCAAACAAGCACATTTCCAAAAACAAGTGATACACTGCTGATTTCAAACTACGGGGATTATGCAAAAAGCATGTCTTTCTTGTACCCCCCAGTTATAAAACAAAACAAGATACATCAGCCAAAAGAAAAGTAAAATGTGCTGTCTTCAGTGTTTGTAGATTGCTTTTGGCAAAAAAGACACACAAAAAAATAAAGACAATATCCTCCGGAAATTTCTTTCAGAACTGGATAAAGAAAACAATCGAATTTTCATGTGACTATAGCCTGTAGCTCTGGCAGTGGACAGACGTCGCCCCTGTGTCACACCTATTGTTCAACTCACTTCTCTGCACTGCATTAGCTATTGTAGTTGTGTCTTATAATGAGATCTACATTGATTAGTGATACCATAGCAGTAATAACCAGTACATTAAATAGCAGGCTCCCCTGGTGAGTGCTAGGTTGTTTTATTAGTAAACAAAAGAGGAAATCAAACTGAAACCAAATCAATACCTTGGAAAATGTGGGGTAGTACACTGAGAATATGCATATGTCACAATACAGATCAGACGATAAGCACCCAGTTTATTCAAAGGACAAGGACTGTTGACTGGTGCACTGCAATCAAGGAAAGATCAACGCAGGCTCAGGCGCCATTGCAATGTTATCCATCCCGATGGAACCTCTGACTCACCCTCTCTCGAATAAATATTTACATCATATTTCTAGTCATATGATAAACCATCAAGTTTTCAGTTAAGATCAAATCTATAATACCTGAAGAGATGGAGGCCAAACGGAAAGCATCAGGGTGTCGGTTTGGTGCTACCGGTTCATATGGGGAAGAGTCATCCATGTCTCCACCTGCAACAACAGTAAGGATGACAAAGAATTATTATCACTCAAGTGACCTGCTCTGCACTTTACCCTCACAGCAGAATCATAACAAAAACAGGCCTGCTCTATCAATAATCTTAAGGAAGCATTCGTAGGAATGTATTTCAGCTCCACTAACCTGAAAGACAAACAAAAACAGAAAGGAAATTCAGTTCACGATTCCTTTTTTGGCTCTATTTAAAACACACATCTAGTGGAAACAATTTAATAAGTAAGCCTTTATCTTTCGTTTGATGGATCGACTGAATGCATGTTTTGGATTGAATATAAAATTATACTCTAATGATGTCATTTCACCGTATTAGATTGGCTGACCCACAACATACTCGATCAGTTCTTTTTTTTCAACAGGATGCTCATAATGGTCAAATAGTTTCCTTTTGGAGAGAGTATTTGTTCATGCTGTAGTTTGATTTGGGGGAGCAGCAGAAGGACTAAAGCATGAGTAATAGATCTTCCCCGCTAACAATGTGTTGCCAGAGCTGTTTTGTAAAAAAGGGGGAAAAAAGAGAATGTTTTTTAATCAAATTAGCACTCAACTGACTGAGTCTCTCCCATGTGCCTGCTCCTCTGTAGGCCCTAATCCTGCATTTAAAATTCATAGCCATTCGGTGTGATTGAGACAAACCCTCCAGTGTGTAATAGCTTTGCATTCTGATCCCAACAGAAACACAGTGAGGGTGTTGTGAGGAAGGCTTGGAGGCCTGCTGCTACAAATGAGAAAATCTGAGACCTGTTGGTATAAGACTGCACTGCCTAGACAACCAATCTGTAGATCCAATCAATACATATAGAACATTTTGTTTATCAACATCCTCCTTTGATACTTTCAAAAAAGATGATGCAAGCTGATAAAATGTTGTCTTGTAGCTGTGTGAATGTGTGTGCCTGTGCATACCAGTGTTATTCTTGTCTCCTGTGCACATGTTTAATTATCAAATTAGAGAAATAAAAGCCACGATAACATCAGCTATGTGTTGATACTTCACTAAAAGTAGAATGCCTGTTGCACAATTTGTCCATTACTAACTAACCAAAAGCACAGGAAGATGTTTACATGTACACTGGCACACAGTAAAAAGGAATGACTAAACATAGAAAATTAAGGGAACCGGGAATTACTAAAGGGAATTTTCGATCATAATTTGTCCACAGAGTAATGAAAACCAACTTAAGAATTGCTTTATGTCTAGTTCTACATCTCCCCCTTCCATCAATATTGACAGTCATGACAAGAAGGTGCAGCTCAGCTGGCCATTCTCAGAGCACATATAGCTATTGACATCTGGCACAGTTGAGGATTGTATGTGTGTTTGAGAAAGAGAATAAGAGCAGAGGAGAATCAGTCCGGAGACACAAAGGAAAGAAAAGAAAAGACAGACAAAGACAGAGCAAAGTGGAGAACGAGAGAAGAGCTAACACAAAGAGGGTGACAGAGAGACTCACTGTTTGTCTTTTTTGTATTGAACGCCATGCATGCACATTAATTCATTGTCGTTGAATTTAGTGTATTTCCCCCTTTATTTTTTTACAGATGCCTTTGCGTCACCCATATCTTTTTTCATGTTAGTCTTGACATTTCTGTCAAGAAAAAGGGACCTGAGTGGCTGCCAGCCGCAATCTCCCAGTATGTCTAATTACAACTATTACCTTCTAAAGCTATAGTACTTTAGAAGCCTTTCAAGAATTCAAGACTACCACTTATTCGGCAAACAACTACCTTGACCCTCCTTTCATGTCTTTTTTCGGCAGAACACACAGTCAATGTGTATTTCAAAAAAAAAAACAGGCAAATATTCCACAGGAAAGTGTAATGCTTCTTCCAGTGCACCAAGAACACTTTGTACTGCAGAGTGCAACATGGACTAAAGGATGCTCTATCTTTTGCCAAAAGCAAAACATCTTGTTATGAGGTTGCTTACCATTTTGTTCAGGCAGCTTCTTACAGAGTAGCAAAGCTTCGCTGCACAATCAGCTGGGAATCAGTGTTAAGGCACATTAAATTTCATAAGTAGGACTGTACAGTGGTTATTCTATAAAACAATAAAGTCAAACCGTACAAGCAGCTGTAGTTAATGAATTTTAAAAGCTTATTTACATGAATGTTACAAGCCGTGTTGAATCATATAATTGTAAAACACACCATAATCACACACACCCTTAGGATGTGAAAAACCCCACAGCAGGATGCCTTGTTGTATTTAAAAAAAAACTGCTCTTTGACAGTCACCCTGGACCCAATTATGCATTCATAATAGAAAATTCTTCCCAGCTGTTTAGCGATAAGATGTTTTTAGCCACAGGGTAACAACTTATCGCTGTAATTAAGCCTCCGTTTGACTTCATTTGCTCTGATAGTATGGAGCATGACCGGCACAGCTCAGACAGACAACCAGGCCTTTCCCTAGTTACTGTTTGGCATGAGAGGAATACTGCTTTTAAGTGGATTCACAGTCCTCTCCTTTGCCATAAGGGGTTTTATGAAGCCGTTAGGGGCCATCACTCATCCTTTTCATATGCATTATCAATGAAACTAAACTCCTGAGGTGATGGAAACTGTCCCATGGATTTTTTTGTGGCAAACAGTTTATGGCTGGAAGCAAAGTCAATTTTAATTTCACCTTGTTTTGTTTTTAAAAGGTGTCCTTTACTTGTGATCCTGTTTAATATTGATTTTATATTAAATATCTATATTGTTCCCTATTTTTGCTACAGGCAATATTGGAAATAGACCAAATGCCCCTGTTACATATAACATATTACTTCTTATTTAAATAATAACAATATATTGCAACATTACTTCTGTTCTTATATTAATCACTTGCAAAAGAAAGAAAGCTTAGCACAGCCTGAGCAGCCTGAAGCACAGCCGGAGGTCCTCTGCAGAGCCCCGCTGGTTTTTGCACGAACTCGGGTGGTAACAAAAGGTGACCGAGCCTTTGCTGTCAGAGCCCACAAAGTTTGCAAATGAGCTGTCTGTGGCGATAAGGCTAGCCAGAACACTTTCCTCTCTAAACCACTTCTCAAAGCACACTTGTATTTGATTGAAATGTATCAAAGGAAACACTGGAAAATGGGAATTCACATTTTTATTACATTAGGATAAATGCATTAATCTTTCCTCTCAACTTCCTCCCATAATGTGCTCATTTCAACAACAAAAAGATAAAGTAAAGTGATACCACAAATGCATCTTTCTTTGAATTTCTTAACAGAACACAAGTTGAAGCATAAATTCAGTTAGCGGCTCAGCTTTTGAAGTGATATTGACATTTTAAACTCAATTTCAAACCATACAAATAGAATATTGGATTAGCCAGAATAATATTTCAAGTCACAATTCCAATCCAGCATGGCGTGGTGGGCAAACACAGCTGTGAAAATGAATACTGAAATCTTCAACCCTCCCTTTGGCTATGCGATTGTAATGTTAATGTGAATAGTTACACATTCGCTTACCTAAATCAGCATTTTAATACCTGGTGTCAGGTACTAAATGGTGAATATGGTGTAAATCCTGCAAAACTTAGTAAAAAAGGCTATCATCTTTACAGCACAGCAGAATATTGGGGAGAACATTAAAAAACAGGAAGCAGCAGTGCCTCCCAATATATTAGCCTCTTTTCACCATTTTACATTACATTTTATATCAACATGAATGCGTGGGAAAAATCCATCATTTTGCATGTTACAAATTAACAACAGCATAAATAGCTCATATTGAGCAACTTAAATATTTACTGTAAACATGATTGGTGTTGCTACATTGGTAAATGAGGGATGTTTAATCTAACTGTATAAAATGTGCCCGACTCAGTTGTGCTATGAATTTCTCAATATGGAAGAATGAAATCTTGGCTGACTTATTTCAACAAGCAGCTATTTCAATTAATGATGCACACAGTGACAGTGAGAAAGAAAGAGAGAGAGGGAGATAGTGTGAGAGAGAGAGAGAGAAAAGTAACCATGCTGTGATGACAGCTGCAGGGCCTGGTAGTTGACTTCTGCGATGCACATTCATTCAGCACCACTGTGAACCTTTCTGCCCAGACTGGTTCTTAATGCCCACATCATGACAGTATTCACTGAGCAGAATGGCCTGTCACTCACTGTCCCGACTGATAGAAAGCCTGAGAAGTCACTGCTATAAAAGGCTAATCTAAACCCCGCTACCTGGCCCTCATTTCAGCTGCACTGTCACACTCTATACCAGCTTCATAGTGAATGGGAGTCATTTCGGGCAGTTCACCTTACAGTATAGAAAATCATTAGACAGATTTATGAGGACAAACAGGGCCTGTTTTGTCATCATATTTCACTGATCCTTTTCACATTTTGGGATGAAAGATGAAAGGGGAGAAGGAGGAGTGAAAAGGACAAGAAGGGGAAAGCTCTGAAAGTCCTTATTGATCACATCCAGAGGCTATCGACAGGTCCCTTCCTCTGATGATGAAGTAGCCACCTAGCAAGTGCCGACTGGGTCTCCAGCGCAGGGAGGGAGAAAGCAGAGAGGACATATTCAGCATGCAGGAGCCTGCTTCCCATATCCCCTGACATGCAAGCCAGGCTGGAAAAACGTTCTGCTTATGACAGTGGATGGCTAAGGTAATGGCCGGTGACTGCTACCATTGCTCATAGTAATGATGGTTTCACCCAGGAATACTGTGTACCTTTGTACCCCACCCTGCCTCCTGGTTTCGCCCGTGACTCTTTCATTCGTCCTCTCTCTCTTTCACTCTTTGTGTTTTTCTGTCTCTCTCTTAAATTTTCTTCCCCCCTCATCATCTATCCACCTTCCTGTCTTCACCTCCTGTTCTCTTTCTTGCTCTCTCCATTTCTCTTCCATCCTGCCTGAGTCTATCATGATGTGCCCAGCATTCTTACACTGCCCATGTCATGTAACCTCCCAGCATTAGAGGCTAACTTGTGACACTAGCATGATGTAGTGACGTATTCAGAGGGTGACC